TCTGGATGTGAGGGGAGTGGAGAACGTCTGTCTTGAGAATTTGTTACCTTGGGTTTGAGTTTGTATTACCAGCTTTTGGAGGGGATTTCCCCAAGCTGGGAAATTAAAGTTACAGAGCAGAGGAGAGATTCCGCGAGAACAAGTCACATAGAATGAACGGCAGAATGGGAGCCCCAAGAACGTCAAACAAAAGGATCTTTAGAGGGTGCCTCTGAGTATGTGAAAACCGGGTACAAAAAGAATCAAAAATACAAAGGTACAAGACAGGAGAAATAAGACAGACTTTAAAAAGAAACTAGAAACTAGGGGAGGGAGAAAAAAAAACCAGAAAATTCTATAGATGTAAAATAAAATGTTTAAAAGTGAACAGCAAATTTGACACAGACTCTTTCAGAATCACTTAACTAGATGGAAAATCAAGAAAAACTAGAAAGTTTGGGCAAAGATAAAGTCATGGAACAGAACTGAAGACATGAATTGAGGTATGGAAGGTGACATGAAAATGTTTGACATACATGTATTAGAAATATTTGAAGAGATGGCAACCCGAGAATTTTTCAGAACTGGTGAAAGGCAAAGTATGCATGTTAAATTTCAAGATAACCAAATAAAGTGCATTAACTCCAGAATGATGTAAAAACTACAGCAGAATAAGGAATCCATCAATCCAATAGAAAGAAAAGAAAGTACAAACAAAAAAAAACAAAAGACGGTAAAAATGAATCCAAATAGCAATGTATAGAACAGTATGTAACAGTATATTTATATTTTGGTTTTATGATAAAACCAAACTTATCCATCAGAGACCGTCAGACTCCCAACATTTTTTTTCCAAGAGTGCATTTTGCTGTGGTTTGCAATAGACACCAAAGCACAGAGATGTAAAAGTTGCAAATAAAGAAATGGAACAAATATATTTGAGGTAAATTCTAACCAGATAGGAGTAACCATACTGACATCTGATCCAGTGGATTTTCTAAGGCACTATTGTAAAGAGTAAACACAGTTACCTCCTAGTGATAAAAAGAACAAGTAATCAGTGATATTATTCAAAGTTTATACACTTGTTAACGGCCTCAAAATATATGACATATTTTAGAGACATAAGAGAAACTGGCAAATTATAATTAGGGAGATTTCCATTAAAAAAATTCTCAGTAATAAACAAATCACTAAGATTTGAAAAACAGAATTGACCAGCTTGCTCTAATGGTTCCCTGTATCCAACAGTTAGAGAATGGACATTCTTTTCAAGCACATGTAAAGAAAACACATTCAGCTATAGGTCTTATCCCATTTTAAAGAAACTGTCAAAGTGGGCACCTGGGTGGCTCAGTTGGTTGGGCGACTGCTTTCGGCTCAGGTCATGATCCTGGAGTCCCGGGATCCAGTCCCGCATCGGGCTCCCTCCTCAGCAGGGAGTCTGCTGCTCCCTCTGACCCTCCCCCCTCTCATGCTCTATCTCATTCTCTCTCTCAAATAAATAAAATAAATAAAAAGAAAGAAACTGTCAAAGAAATAACATTCTCTGATTAATTCTAAAATGAAATTACGCGGTTTTTAAAAGGTAAAAAAAGTCACTTTGGAAATCTAAAAAATCCTAAATAACTCTTAAGCGAACTAATAATGGAAAAGAGAAAATACAACTGAACAGTAAGGAAAACCCATACATATCAGACCAGTTGATGTGAAGAAAAAAATCTGTAGTTTTAAATGCTTACATTAAAAGGAACAAAGATTACAAAGCTAACAGACCAAGGATTTCTAGAGAATAAAGGAGTACATTAAAAAGGAACAAAAAAAATAGAGTAATAAAAATAAACCCTAAACTGGTTCTCTGCACGATTAATCATAAAAATGTTTAAATACATCACAGAACAGGTTTTTTAGAAGAGACTGGACTGTGTAGTTGAAAACTTCACTGAAACGGACAGTTTTCTAGAAGCAGCAATACCTGGAGGGGAGAAAAGATAGATCATGTCGTACGTGGTTTGTGAATCATTGCATATCCATGCAGAGAAATACAAAATTATATTTCTTCTTATACGATTTTACTTTAGGGAGATCAGAAATCTCAGTGCAAAATCAGATGTAGAAGGCAGTGGTGCCTTAGCAGAGAAGAGGATTTCCTAAGAAAGTGTAAGCCATAGGAGAAAATCTGTGAAAATTTGATGATGACAGATTAAGAATTTCTCTTTATATGGTGCTTTCCATAAAAAGCTACCGACTACAAGAAGATAATAACTGGACAATATAATTGATACAGCAGGGATTTTCACAGTAAACTGCCAAGTCAAAGCTCAGTATTTGTCAGTCTGTAATACTTATTACGTGCTTACATTTTTAAAGATGTTTTTCAGGCAAAATTCACCTACTGCAAAATGCAGAGATCTTAAGGGGATAGTTTGAATTTTTTGACAGGTATATACGCCCAGGTAAACGGTATCCTACTCAAGATACAGAGAGTTCCCTGGAGCCCCTGATGGTCAGTCTTCACCCTCCAAGGAAGAAGAAATCACTCATTTCTGGAAATCACTCCTCATTTCTATCAATAGATGAGTTTTGCCTGTTTGAGAACCTCCTATGAATGGAACCATACATATCTGGCTTTTTCCCTTCAACATGTTTTTAAGACTGATTTGTGATAGATGTATCAGCAGTTCATTTTTTTTTCTTTTTAAAGATTTTATTTATTTATTTGACAGAGACACAGCGAGAGAGGGAACACAAGCAGGGGGAGTGGGAGAGGGAGAAGCAGGCTTCCCGCCGAGGAGGGAGCCCGATGTGGGGCTCTATCCCAGGACCCTGGGATCCTGATCTGAGCCGAAGGCAGACGCTTAACGACTGAGCCACCCAGGCGCCCCAGCAGTTCATTTTTTAAACCGCTGAGTAGTATTCTGCTCCATGCGTCTTCCACCATTTGTGTAAGAAACTGCCAAATTTTTCCAGAGTGACTGTATCATGTTATACTCTCATCATCAATGTCTGAGCAAACTCTGTTTTTGAAAAGATTATGAAGGATAGGACAGAGAATATACGGGAGAGAAAATGAAAATGATAAATTCCTAAGCTGCTTAGTCTCCTTGTAATCATACAAATGCTGATGAAAACCATGACGAGCCATGATTCGGATGTAGGCAGTGAAATTCGTGCACCGCTGGTGGCTGCCGGTGACTCGTGCACATCCGACAAGGTGACAAGTGCATGGCGGCCCTCTCCTGTCACCTGCCAGTTCTGTACTGTGAGAAACTCAAACATGTATGTGAGGGAACTTGCTAGTACTGTTCTCTGCAGCTTTGTTTGTAAATGCTCCAAGTTGGAACCCACCAAGTAAGTGATCATTGGTAGGGTCCGTGGACAGGAAGATGGGTAATTTCTTGTAGATCTGTACTGTATCCAACGTTTGAGTACAGACGGAATAGTAATTTTGTGCACAGTTTCACAGCAAGCTATGAAGACATTCCCAGGAATGCTATGCACCAAATCATGGGGCTGTTTGCCCCCAGGGAAAGTGGAAGGAGGAGTGGCAGTAAGGAGGAGCACTAAGCAGGTCTGTTGCAAAATCTGTCCTATTTAATTTCCTAAAAATTTGAGGTGGGATGTAGGTGGAATGAGACAAGCATGGGAATATGAGATTGTCCAAACTGGATCATGAGTTTATGAGAGTTCACCGTGTGTTAAAATCTGCCATTCTTGTACATTTGAAACATTTAATAAAATGATTCATTGTTTTAGGGCATAGTTCTTTGATTACTGCTGAGGTTAAAGATTTTTTTTTTTTTTTCAGACTTGGCCATTAATAGGTATTTTTTTCAGCTTTGGGATTTTTTCTTGGTACACTCTGCCCATGTTCCTGTGGAGGTTAACTTTTTCACATTGTTTTTAATTACTTTAATTGCTTAAAGATAGTAACTCATTGAAGGTATCTTTTCCTGAAATATTTTCAAAATTTCAGATTAAGTGCTTTGACGACTTTGCTAAGAAAACCCTTCCCCAACCTTAGATCAGGAAAATGTCTGTGTGTATTTGTTTTATGGTTTCGGTTTGTATATTTTAATTCTTAATCCATTTGTGATGTATTTTGGAGTGCGGAATATTTTTTGAAATCTCCTCTGTCTTTACCCACCGACTTGAAACAAATAGGCCAGAATATTTTGTCTTAGGGATTTTTCTTTCTGAATCAGTGTTGTTGTCTTTCAGTTAGCTTTAGCCCAGAAATACTGCCTGCAAAGTGAAATAGTCTGAGTGGTTCTCTGCCTTAGCTGCCCTGTCTCCCATGCGCGGCAGCCCCCACAGCTGCTGTCTTTCTGTCTGTGTCTTCTGTGACTCCCGCATCTCCAACCCATCTCCAGCCCTCTTAGCCGTGCGCGAGCCCTGCTGTTTGTGGTTGGTTGATTTTACACACCTGTGACTTTCTGTGGTAATAAGAGCTCGCTTGCACTGCCATTTCTTCTGCTTTTTGCCCTTCATCTGCAAAGCATAGCTTTAAATTCATTCATAAATAATTTTAAAATAAAGTTTTAGTTATTTTGATATTTATAATGTATGCTTTTAGAAATACAGCTAAGCATCATAATAGACTATGGTTATAGCTTTTTGTTTTTCTTGAAGGAGGTAATTGCTTTTTTCTCTCATTTGGAACCTTTGTACCAGTTGCCAGTTCTCATGCCTTCTGATACACTCTCAGGACAATATCCCACAAGGTCAGTCACATGACATGATCTTAGAAGGTCCTGTGTTTCTTAGGTGACCTTCCTCAGAACGTTCCATCATTCTCAGCAGGCTGCTCCCTGGGCCTGCAGACAAGCTTGTAAGTCCTGGGGCTGGTTGACTTCAGCTTTATTGTGTTGAATGGAATCTTTTTTCCGCTCTAGTTTTAACAGATTTTTGTTGATAGAGTGGGAAAATATTGGTATGAATATATTTTCTTTAAAAATATGTCGGTATTAATCACTGTTGACATTGATGATGCATGTTGATTTCCTTAACTTTTCTCCAAGTCATGTTTATAACTACTGCACAAGTGTTCACCAGTCAAACCAAGCCCGAGGGGCTGGCGTCCCTCCTTCCAAATCGAAAAAGGGACAGACGCCTGGGGGAGCTCAGTTTGTTGGCTTGGAATTATACAAACGGCTTAAAGAATTTTTGAAGAATTACTTGACAAATCTTCTTAAGGTAAGATGTTTAACACATGTGCTGACCATTTATAAGAGAATGTAAAAAAGTAGTAGTGAAATGATGATTCTAACTTGATTGAATGCTAAATCTCTCACTGTTATGTGTTCATTTTTTCCGGCATTGATGTGTGCGTGAAGATACTTTGCTATTGCTTAGTCTTTTACCTGTTGTGAAGATGAAACTTTCATAAGCCCTTTTCTCTTTTTTAATTTGTTAATGAGAAGTTTTTCATAGCTATACCATAGTAGTACTTCCCTTAAATTACTAACCATTTTATATTTGGTTGTTAGAAATTGATGAATCTTTTAATTTCAAGCGTATAATTATGAATACCGATGTTGTGTATTGAACCCAGTATGTTGTTCTGTATACAAATGTACAAATGATTATAAGGTTATCTAACCTTTGGCAATCGCGTTTTTCCAGTGTGACCTTGCCTTTTACACACGGTCATGTAGTATATTTCAGAACGACAATGAAATCGTGCCCTTGGCTAGGATGGGTTTCTCTACGAACATCCCTGGCCTTCAAATATGGGTTCCTCCTGCCCCGAGCCGTGGCTCGGGCAGTGATGGAGTTTTTCCCTTTCATCTTCTGCCTTCTCCGTCCTCGGTAACAAAGGCAGTGTGATGCCTTCCGTCCAGCCACAGGATGGGCAAGTGGCTCCTTCATCCCGTGCTACCCATATCACATAGAGTGAGTGAAGACATCTGTACCTTCTACCCTGGGAAGTCTGTGCTCTGTGTATATCCTTTAAAGACTTTTTATTTACACAGATAATAGGCAAAAATTCCAGCATGCTTCAAAATTGTTTTCTTAATGTATTTTACAAGGTAATTGGAAACTTAATATCATTCTAACAGACCATAGTTGATTGACCACAAATTGTGACTAAAATTTTCACGTTCCCTAAACAGTGTTTCTAATGTTTTGCAGAACCCACTGTGTCCTTATGTTTATTCATAGCACTTTGTAAAGTGAACACTGGAATTAATTATTCTTCAGCATTAAAGCGAGGAACAGTAGCATTTGGTGCTGTATGAAAGTATTGGTAGCCGTGCTGTATCAGTGGTATCTTCGCATTTTTTAAAAAAAAAAAAGGTCATGTACTATAATCCAGAGTGGCTTGGCTTTACATTTTATAGTTCATTCCTTATTTAAATTTCAATAAACAAAAATGTGGTTGTATCAAGATATGGTCAGGTTTTCACGCGGCTTGCTGGATCTCTTGTGTACCACATATGTGTGGAACTTCGCTTCTTACTCTGGTTGAAGACTCGGAGGTGAGCGAAGGGGGTGGCTTGCCTTAGTTCCTGGTGGGGCTGCCTCCCTTCTGCCTCACGTCTGGTGCTTTTCTGCCGCAGGCTCTATCAGGGACACTGCAGTGGAACCTGCAGTTTTTACAGGGTAGGCTTTGCTTTGTGGATGTCATTAACACCTGAGAAAAAAATGTCAAGTTGGTCCTTCACATAAAAATTTGTGGTTTAAGTTGTGGAAATCTTGGTAAAAATAATTTTGATGGATGCACATTTTCCCCTTGAGGTCTTGTTAAAGAAGAAGGAATATTGCACCATTATACTTTATTTGTACAGAAATGTAACAGATTACCACAAAAACTATACATTTATCATTTTTAGATACACTTAATGAATGAAAAAGATGCGTTAAAAAATTGAATAGCATTGGCCCTGTGGTCATAGGACATTTTAATTTTTAATAGAAAATATCAAAAATAGGGATGATTTTGAGCTAAATTCCTTTCTTGTTAATAAAAATGAATTACTCTTATTCTAAAAGTTCAGGTTCTTTAAAAATAAATTAATTAAAAGTTCCAGGTTCTTCGTATGATTGTGCATATTTAATACCAATGAAAAAGTTGCAGTTTGAAAAAATTTTTATTAGAATTCTCTTTAGTCTGATTCTCACAAGCTATAGTCCGATGAGACTTGGTATTAATGAGTATGGTTTTGTGTACAAAATAAAAAGCTCATCTAAAACCAAACACATCAATGTATTTTAATGCAGTAGATTTGTTTTAGTTAATTTTTATCTTTATCATGTGATTAGTCCTTAAAGCTTGAGTTAACTCCTTTGTAGGACGGAGAAGATTTGATGGATGAGAGTGTACTGAAGTTCTACACTCAACAATGGGAGGATTATCGATTTTCCAGCAAAGTGCTGAATGGAATTTGTGCCTACCTCAACAGACATTGGGTTCGCCGTGAGTGTGACGAGGGACGAAAAGGAATCTATGAGATCTATTCTGTAAGATATATATTTTTTAAACACTTTTCACATGTGTATTTTCTTAGTGATACCTCATCCTGTCAGTAGACGAATCTAGGCAAATATGAAGCTATTTTCAGAAGAGTAGGCTAATTTCTTTTGCTTTAATTATCAATAAATGACCCTTAAATATCTTGTGGCAGGAAAGGGGAAGGATGAATAAACTGGAGTTCTAAAATACAGCCTCCGCACTTCTGCACTGACTGATAGCAAGTTTCTTCTGCAGTTATTTCACAGCCATCCAGTTGAGCCTGGAACTGTCCCAGTTTTAGCGTTGGACGTCCCACACGCTGGCCGTGTCTGGCAAATGCAGTCCCTGGCCTGAGACCCAGGCCTCACGGATCAGCCCTCAGGGTCTTGTGGTTTGGGAAACTGTTCAAGGAGAGGACTGTGCCATGAGATGTCCTCCTACCCTCTCACTTTACAAAATAATCTGACAGAAAATTGAGAGGTTCTTTTAGACCCCATGAAAATAGATTTTGAAAAGGTAAAGTTTGAGTGATTAAATCATCTTCATTAATATGTTTCTTCAGTCAGGGAAGAAGCTTGTTCTAGGCCCATAGTTTTACAAAGTGTGGTCCCCAAACCCACCACATCTTGGACCCCTGGGAACGTGCTAGAAATGCAGATGACTGGGACCCAGCAGTGTGTGGTAGCAAGCCCTCGAGCTGGGTCTGATGTGCAGTCACGTGGGAGTGCCGATGTCGTAACGCAGTGAAGGGGAGGACCTGAGCACGGACGGGCTGTCAGGTGCACACACTGTACTCTTCTGGAACGGGTGGTGGGGAAAATGTCAAGTTCTGCATAATGAGATTTTCTCCATATCCAAGAATGTTCGTGTAATAGCAGTACTTTACTGCTTTACTATTTGCAAATTTAATAAAAGAAAAACATAATATATCATAGATGAGTGACAGACTCTTATCACTTACATAGTTCAGTTTCTGTGCCAAACTGTTACTTCATAAAGGTACTTGGTTGTATAGTTTTCACAAAACTTTCTTGATTTAGTGTTTTGGTTTGAGCCTTTTGTACTTGCCCTTTTCTTTTCCACTTACAAATGCTTTCTTGAGACTGAAAGTTGTCAGTGTGGGAATCCGCATGATTTGGGTTGATTTCCTCTTGGTTGCCACCTTCACCTGAAACACCGCGTGTACCCCACAATAACATCACAGACTCCTAAAAATCATTATAACTTTTTGTGTGCTGTATTCAAGAACAGTTAAAGAAAGAAGTAGAAGTATACCTCAAGATTCGACTGCTTTTATTTTTTTTATTTACTTTGAAAATTCATACTTTCTACATCCTTAAATCCCGTAGTTACCATTTGGAAATATAATATGCAGCATACATTTTAGCAGAGGCTGATTAATATCCCTATCTAGAAATAGAATTTGCTCTGTGTGCTCTTCCAGTGAACCTGATGAATTCGTTTAAAGTTCAAGCATCAGTTGACACAGTGGGATAGTTGGGCACAGTGATCTCTCATTGTATTTTCCCGAAGTTCCAGAAGGTGGGGATGATTTGTCAAGAAATAATAAGTTTTACTTTTTTCCTGATAATTCTTTCTTCCTTTTTTAATTATAGAAAGTTGTTGTTTTCCTTTCATGTCCACTAGAGAACATAAGTTAATTTCATTATTGATACATTAAAGTGATTGAGCAAGATTTTTTTCCCTGACTCTCTTCCTCTGAACTCTCTCTGGTGTACCATTGGCCCTTCTTTCTTATCTTGCCAGCTCTTCTTCCTTTCTTCTTCAAAGTGACAAATTATCCAGAGTCAAATTAGAGCTGTCTAAGGCTGTTTTAATTTAGAAAAATGTTTGGAAAAAAGTTATTTTTGAAGGCGTAGAATGTCTTTACTAGAAGTTCATGGCCATGGCATCGCATTTTCCCTCCTGCCTCACTCCTGCATTAAAGAAGTCTGAAGAGTTGAGAACGAACAGCAACAGAGAATTTGCACAGAGAAAATGTATTTTCCAAACAATTGCCCCAGGGTTGCATTTCTCCAGAAAAATGAGGCTCTTCCTTTCCAGCATCTTTTTGGATATCATAGTTTCTAATTCTGAAATCTTATTTTTATGCTAATATTACCCGAGTATGTACTGTTCATACTTTATTAAAAATAGTTTTCTCTTAGAATGAAATCTTGCCATTGGCAACAACACAGATGGATCTGAAGAGTATTATGCTAAGCAAAATAAGTCAGAGAAAGAAAACACCATATGATCTCACTCATATGCGGAACTTCAGAAACAAACCAAGAAAAAGAGACAAACTAAACACCAGACTTTTGAGCTGCCACCTTGTGTCCCCGTGTGTACACCTAATCTCAGCTGGTCCCACCGAGACCCCCTGAGCACCAACCCTCTTCCCCTGCGCAGTCCCATTTCCGCTCCAACAAGATGAAAGAAACTATCATGAACCAGGAGAAACTCACCAAACTGCAAGCACAAGTGCTCATTGGTGGGAAAGGAACTGCTTGCCGAAAGAAGGTGGTTCATAGAATGGCTACAGCAGATGATAAAAAACTTCAGTTCTCCTTGAAGAAGTTAGGGGTAAACAATATCTCTGGTATTGAAGAAGTGAGTATGTTCACAAACCAAGGAACAGTGAATCCCCTCTAGCCACCCCAAAGTTCAGGCATCGCTGGCAGGGAACACTTTCACCGTTCCAGGCCATGCTGGCACAAAGCGGCTGACAGAAATGCTACCCAGGATCTTAAACCAACTTGGTGCAGACAGTCTGACTAGTTGAAGAAGACTGGTTGAAGCTCTGCCCACACAATCCATGGACGGAAAAGCACCACTTGCTACCAGAGAGGAGGATGATGATGAAGTTCCAGATCTTGTGGAGAATTTTGATGAAGCTTCCAAGAATGAGGTGAATTGAATTGAGTCAACTTCTGAAGAAGATAAAACTTGAAGAAGTTACTGGGAGCTGCTATTTTATATTATGCCTGCTTTTTAAAATTTTGTTCACGGATCTGATAAAATCTAGATCTCTAATACTTTTAGAGAGTGCCCAAGCCCCTTGGACACTGCAGCTCTTTTCAGTTTTTGCTTAGACACAATTCATTCTTTGCAGCTAATTAAGCTGAAGAAGCCTGGGAATAAAGTTTGAAACAAGGTTACTAAAGTTCTTTGCCTGGGGCGGGGGGGAACAGACTTTTAGCTATAGAGGACAAGCTGATGGTTACTAGAGGGGAGGTGGGTGGGCACAGGGAAAATAAGGGATGGGGGTTAAGACGTACACTCACCGTGACAAGCAGTGAGTGATATGTAGAATTGTTGGACACCTGAAACCAATATAACTCTGTTAACTATCCTGGAATTAAAAATTTAAGTAATAAATTAAAAAATAGTTTTCTCTTAAATATTGCTTTCATGCTGTCTTTTTTTCTGTGGTAGAAATATCACTCAGTTCATTATATAAATTAAATTACATTATAATCTTTTCTGAAATATAGATCTTACATAAACCCAGCTCTATCTGTGGTTAAATTTGGGGAAAATAAGACTGAAAGCATTTATGTTTAAGTGAGTTCCTCAGCTGTTTGTATTGAGTACTGAATTGTTATAAATTTGAATTTTACTCTGAGAAGTACCTCTCTTAACAAACAGCTTAAAAATCATGAATGAATTATAACATTTCTCTTGTGGGGGACATTTTTAGAGTGATTTTCTGGTATTACCTCTGTGGGAAGTTTTAAAAACTTTTTAAAATGTATCAGAGAACCCCCCCACACACACACAAACACACACATGAATACAAGTAAAATGGGAAATCTGAGTAATTCATGTATAATAAACTGCATCTATGTAAAGTGTCCATTTTGGTGCATTTACAGTTGTATGCATCCATGCAACATAAATCACCACAATTAAGATACAGAACTTGCTAATTTTTTATTGTCTGTTACTTATTTTACTGAGTATCAGGAAACTATGATAAATGGAATTATCTTCATTAAGTGTGTTAGGTCAGAAATTAAATTTGGGCCAGGGAATAGTGTTAGAAGTTGAATCCCCTGTTGTCCTGTAAGCTGATGTGTATTTTCTCCTAAAAATCCAGATTTTCTTTTTATCTTAATTATTAAAATGTGAGCTAACAAACATCTGTACTCTGATACTTCCTGAAGTTAAGAGAGTGTCTCTCATTTCATCATGATGATAGATTGTTACCCAGTTATAATCTAGAAATATTGATCAATGAGATTCAGGCTGATTCCTATGGCTTCAGTCTTAGAAAAACGTAGTAAAAGTATAGACATCTTATGCTTCTTTTTCTTTTCATCCAGCTTGCATTGGTGACTTGGAGAGATTGTCTGTTCAGGCCACTGAATAAACAGGTACCAACTTGTGTGAGTGTGTCCATGTTTTCCTTTCAAAACCCCTCACAGATTAGTTCCTTGGGCCTTGTCTCCCCTTCCTTTAGAATGTCCTTTGAGGGGCGCCTGGGTGGCTCAGTTGGTTAAGCGACTGCCTTTGGCTCAGGTCATGATCCTGAAGTCCTGGGATCGAGTCCCGCGTCAGGCTCCCCTGCTCAGCGGGGAGTCTGCTTCTCCCTCTCCCGCTCCCCCCCTTGTGCTCTCATTCTCTATCTCATTCTCTCTCTCAAATAAATAAATAAAATCTTTTAAAAAAAAAAGAATGTCCTTCGAGTATCTCTCATCTTGCATTGTCTAATGAGCTCAGTCTGAGAGATGTGTAGTAATACGCATACTGTAGTCTATGACCTACCTGTCTTTTTTTCCCTTATCCTTCCTAAAGGTAACGAATGCTGTTTTAAAACTAATTGAAAAGGAAAGAAACGGTGAAACCATCAATACAAGACTGATAAGTGGAGTTGTACAGTCTTATGGTAAACAGTTTCCCTTTAATTTATTCAGAGTTTTTATATCAAATGACAGTTGTAACAGTGTTCTGACGGATTCATTTACAGATATTTTAGATTTAAGAATATTGTTTGCATTTACAAGGGCGCTTGGAATTCTCTTTAAGTTAATGTGGTTCTGTTCGATTTTACCCATCATAAAAATTGTTTGATCTTTGTACCTGAAGGGAATTTTGAGGAATTAGACATTTGAATGATCTTCTGGTCTCATTGAGTTACTGTATATATAATAAGATAGAGTGTCATTAATGGATGATAACCAGAAGTCTCTGTCAGCTTGAAAAATTGAGATTGAGAAACCGATAAGCTAATGCAGTGTTTTAAAAACTTAGGTGACATCGTATTTCTCTGAAAGTTTAAATTTAGTCATTTTTAGGGAGCAGGTGAAATTGGTGAAGGGGATTAGGAGCTATAAACTTCTAGTTATAAAATAAGCCATGGGGGGGATAAGGTGTAGCGTTGGGAATGGAGGCAATAATATCATAATAACTCTTTAAGGGACAGTTGGGGACTCGACTTAACTGTGGGGACCGTCTTGTAATGTACACAAATACCAGATCGCTGTGATGGACCCCTGAAACCAGGAGGCTGTTTGTCAGTTATACTTCAATTAAAAATAAATGTCATGTTTATTATTTTTAAGCTTTTAGAAATATAAGCGTTTTTTAAATGAACTGCATGATAACTCTGAAGCATGCTTGGCCATGGGTCAGAATTACTTGCTTTCATGTCTTGGATTCTGTGTCTTTTCTTTCATTGAAACAGTGTACTTGAATACCAGTGAATAACAGATTTACCTTAGGCCTTACCATTGTCCATTTACCTCTTAAACGTAAACTGAATGCTACACACCTAGGTATATTGTGTAAAATATAACAAAAACTGGGGTAATTGAAATATAGTTCCTATTTATTTCTAGTGGAGTTGGGGCTGAATGAAGATGATGCATTTGCCAAGGGCCCTACGCTGACCGTGTATAAAGAGTCCTTTGAATCTCAGTTTTTGGCTGACACGGAGAGATTCTATACCAGGGAGAGCACTGAATTCTTGCAGCAGAACCCAGTTACTGAGTATATGAAAAAGGTAAGCTTAACTATGGCACCTGGAGTAGACTGAAGTTAAAACAGTTACTGCTGCTCCAGTGAATTCTTCTTTTTCATGTAGGCAGCTTTTGCACAGGTCATTTCTCAGGCCGTGTTGTCCTGTAGCGTCCAGGCAGGTGCAGACGCTTCTCCCGGTGCCCCAGGCAGCTTTTATAAATTCATCTGAGATTCACGGCTCAGTGTTCTCTCTGCTGCTCTGAGGACGGAACCGTCCTAGCCATGCGACTTCCCTGGTCTGAGCCGTCTCGCAGCGTGTCTGTGTACATCTGATGGGAGCCGCAGTCCTGTGTCAGTGAGAAACAATTCCTAGGTTGGCAGACTTTAGCTGTTTGCTTTTCCACGTCTGAAATACTCTGTGACAGTCTCCAGCACAGCTTTCAAGTTGCTAGTAGAGGAGGTGCTTCTGAAACAACAGAATCTGGGATGGATCATCAGTTCTGTGCTAAGCGATGTTACAGGGAAGTAGTTCTTTTGGTTCTCTTTCTTGGGAAGACAGGTGTCCTGGATTGTCACTGTGAGGAGTGACTGAGGGTAGGAACTGGCAAACCCATTCTGGGAGAGGTCAGGGAGCAACTGTCTGGCTTCGCACTCGCTCTCCGTGCTGCCATGGCAGCATCCAGACAAATGGGTGTCGCTGTGTTCCAGTGAAGTTTTACCCACAGGCAGGATGTGGCCTGTGGGCTCTCGTTCGCTGACCCCTGGCCAAGATGGACAGGATTTCCAGGGAGGCCGAGCTAACTGTGTCTGATCTCTGCCTTGCCTTTATTCTCTCTTCACGGGGAGAGCGAAGGGAGTGAGTATGGAGCCACGTATCCACGTGCCGAGACAGGCGGTTAGCAAGTCAGCCCCGTAGGAGCAGTGGGGCCTCTGAGCACGTGCGTCCCACCCCGTTTGTGCATGATGTTCTGGCTGCATTTTCCCATAGGAGATCGTGCTTATAAGTGGGCCTTAGAAGTTTGAAGTTGAAAGTCCTTAACTAACAAATTTCTGAGATCTCAAAGCCTAACAAAAATGGAAGTCTTCAGAAGTCTCAAACTTGGAAGTAGTAGCAGTTCTTTGTGTATGTCTGCGGGTTAAATGAGCTTTTGTGTGTGCTGACCCCGAGCATAATTGCCTATTTCATGTGTTAGCTTGGCAGCGCAGTTTTCATGCCCACATCTCTGCTTGAACTCTGCTGCATATGGTGATGCTCTTAAGGGTGGGGTCTTTTGTCAGGGCACACATCTGTGGGGTCTCAGTTCCCGTCCTCTGCGTGAGACCAGAGCTACGTGAGCACTCCCAAAGCAGGCAGATAGGGTTTTTCAGTCAGGCCTGGAACCAAAGGCAGCTTGAGGAGCAAAGACTTACCGTGGTCTGGATGTTTCCAACCCGGTGTGACCCTGCCTTCCTGCGTCCTGGTGCTCTTACAGAGGATTCCTTTCTAGCAGGGTTAATGGTTTGGCCCAAATCCAGTTGGATCTTACCAAACATGACTTCTGTCACCTTCTGGAAGTCCATAATATGGAGAATCCAGCAGAGAATCTGTAAGCACAAAATTGGAAGTTAACCATGTGAACAGTTCTCTTGCCTATAGCCTTAGGCTGCAAGTCTAGTTTTAAATCCCTACTCAGCCATTTCCTGGGGAGTTAACCTTAACCCTCTGGTCCTCCATTCCCTCATCTGTAAAATGGGAATAATAATTTTGTAATACATATGGTTGGTGCTGGGCAAAGAGCAAGCGTGTTGTGTTTGCTAGGACAGGCATACGTGATTCACGGCCTCCGGTAGATGCCTGAGAATATGCAAAACCACAGGATAAATGGGGGCACATTTTATTTAATGACTTGAGGAGGAATTATATTAAAGCATCATGTCAGGAAATAGAATTTAAAACTCATGAACAAAATGGAGATAAAGAATGAGCCTTTGACAAGTATTCTGCTTTTAGCTGCCGGTTTGGGCTAGATGTGCAAATTCCCTGGGGGTCTGCGTTCCCTTTTCTGTGATGTCCAGGGATGTTTTAGTGGAAACATTTGAGAATCTTTGGCTTCTCTGCAATAGGGATGGCTTTGATAAATGAACAGCCCTAAGCCACATTAGGGCTTGTAAGCTATCCTGCTGTCTCATGTGATTGAGACTAATGTGAACTACAAAAGATTTGTTAACTATTCTAGGTTACTAATGTCTCTCATCCACACAAACTTTAAAAGTAAAATATACTTCATTAATTTGCTTACCTTTTGTGTTCTGTTTTTCATTTTGTTTTCACTGTGAACCAATCCTAATAGAATTAATAGGGACAGTCTTTAATTGCTTGATTTTCTTGAGTCATTTTGAATTTGATTTGATCCTGGTGTTCTGCGATCATTATCGGACAGCGATGATCGAGAGCCTACTTGACTAAGAATCCACAAAGAGTGTAAATGGCTGTCCTTCCTAAAACCTAATGATGCAACACCTCATACCTTGGTTTCTTTATCTACAAAATAAGCTATCACCGAGGCCCCTCTGTTCTTCAGTGTCTTTGGAATCACTGATGTGCCAGTTTAGTCTTCCCTTCCCTCTCGGCCCCGCAGGAAGGGCACTGCCGTAGAATGCTGCTACCCTCTGTCCTGCAGGGGTTGGAAAGCCACGGTGCTCCCCCAGAGAAGGAGTCAGCAGTGCCACCAAAGCCTTATCTTTCATCTGGGGAGGGGTAAAATTTTAGGAGAAAGCAATGTTTATGACAGTTGAGTTTTTTGCTGCCCGAGGTGATCATGTATAACTTCAAACAGGAAAAGTGGTGCTTTTCAGTTTGTGTGTCCTGTACTATATCAGCTCGCATTCTTGAGGTAACAACAGGCTTAGGGAAATTTTAGATTCGAAGTACCATGTGCTTAACTTAGAACTTCTGACTTAAAGCACATAAAGATCTCCTATTGTTGGGACGCCTGGGTGGCTCAGTCAGTTAAGTGTCTGCCTTCGGCTGAGGTCATGATCCCAGAGTCACGGAATGAGGCAAGGAGCCTGCTTCTCCCTCTGTCTGCTGCTTCCCCCGCTTGTGCTCTTTCTCTCTCTGACAAATAATCTTTTAAAAAATGTATCTATTCACAATAACTTCATAATCAGAAGAAATATATACATTAGTTGTAGGCGTTTTGGAAAATACGTAAACATAACATAAACCTTCAAGCTTAGGGGACACTATTGCTAAGTATGTATATTAAACCAAATTGGTGGGGCACCTGGGTGGCTCAGTTGGTTAAGCGACTGCCTTCGGCTTAGGTCATGATCCTGGAGTCCCGGGATCGAGTTCCGCATCGGGCTCCTTGTTCAGTGGGGAGCCTGCTTCTCCCTCCACCTTCCCCCATCTCATGCTCTCTCACTCTCTCCTTCTTGCTCTCAAATAAATAAGATCTTTAAATAAATAAATAAAACCAAATTGGAATAATTCTGTAGGTTTTTATGTAACTTGTTACACACACACACTTGTTACATTAACATGTTTTATATTTATTTATTTTACTGGTTAATAGTATTCCATTAGCCAAATATGCTATGCTTTCGTTCCCGCTTACCAGAAACTTTAGGTTTTTTATATTTCTTCTTTTATAAATTCCTTTCACATTTTTTATTTGGTAATACTTATGATTTTTCAGAGATCATGCTATATTAAGGACATTGACATGTTGATGTATACTACAGATAATTCCCAAGTTTATTTTGTTGTTCACATTTCACTATTTGGAATGTGTAATAAGGTTCTAACTTCTGTTGTTTCAATAATTGTCCCATTGTTAGTAATTCTTGACAGCATAAATCCTGCCTGCGTTTTTCTTTTGTTTTCTTGGCTCTTGGGTGTTTATTCTTCCAGTTGAATTTTTCTAGATTTCTCCAAAATTATACCAAATTTAAAATCATTTTAGAAAGTACAGCACTTTTACAACACCAGATAATTTTTCTCTTTTATTCAGATCGCCTGAATAATTTGAGGTTATCAATGAAATTTTGTCCTTGCTCTGATAATTTAGTGGTTCCTTAGTGATGCTTTACGCCACACACATTTCTGGTAATACTTTGTAAAATATACGGACTTCTTTTTATTTTGCTGCTCTGTTAAATGACATCTTTGTTTTCCTCTCTTCCTTGAGGGGAATTGTAAGAACTGGAGATGCATAAATAATCCAAAAGTTACAGGGCCATGTACTCAGCAATTGGCAAGAGAAGGCCATGATGGTCGTTTGTTTTGTTTTGTTTTTAATTTTTTAAAAGTCTGATTACTAATAACGATTTCCATGTGGTCATTTCAGGGAATATATTCATGTGACTCTTGACTTCAAGCAGCTTTCAGTGGGAAGCAGGGGTCCTGAACATGGTGTCTGTTTTTGAGGGAGGATCACAGGTTTCTCAGAGAGTCAAGTAGGGATAGTACCCCCAAAAGGTGAAATGCCACATATCTGAAGGAAGAAAGCTGACATAAACACATTTGGACTGCTAACAATGATAACCTTGATAAGTCATTTAAAAGGAGCTGGAGGTAGAAATATATTGCAGAGAAAATTGTGACCACTTAAATATGGTTGGCATTCACCCAGAATCAAAGAACCCCTTCCCTTTTCTCTTAATTTATTAGAGCAGGTTTGTGAGTTGAATTTGCCATTATTCATGGAACAATTCTTTAAGAAGGAATCCAGACCATTCACTTGAATGAATTCCTGCAGGCAGAGGCTCGTCTGCTCGAGGAACAGCGGAGAGTCCAGGTCTACCTTCATGAAAGCACACAGGATGAACTGGCCAGGAAGTGTGAGCAAGTGCTCATTGAAAAACACTTGGAAATTTTCCACACAGAATTCCAGAATTTGTTGGATGCTGACAAAAATGAAGGTGAGCCTCTCAGACTCAAGACGTGTGTGCATGTCTGTTATGATCTGCAGTTTTGAAGTTGTTTGAAATTCTGGACTCTGCACATGACCAACATGAGTCATTTTTTAGAAGATTAATGTGTGTGTACCTTGTGTATTGATTTCAGACCTCTGTAGAGGGTTTTGGGTGTAACTTTGGGGGAAGAACATCTTTTCAGTTCAATTTGGAATATAACTTGTTCCATACACTTTAGTGTTAAATGATACTACCCCTGATTTTGTTCTTGAGGATTTTTATTTTGAAAATTCTTCAAGATGTGAAGGCTAGTGTTTTGTAAAAGTCTTTCTTTTACCCTTTAGGTTTTACTGGGATATGTTAGGAGCTCAATAAAAGATTGATGTTCGAATTCAAAAGTTTTCTCTTTGGCCTTCATAAATTAACCATATGCCATACATATATTAAATGAAGAATTTGGGGGCCCTTTTGTGACTCATTTGTTTGTAGAGTTGAGATGGGTATTCATAAATATTCCTTAAATTTATTCATTTTTTAAAATAAATATTTGAGTGCCCATTATATATCTAGCATAACTAATATCTCAATCTTGAGAATTTTAGGAAGCATCAGATATACTTCCTGATAAAATTTTTCTCTGTTCTGTTGCTGGTTTCTCATAGTAAAGGAAAAAGTAAACTTTTACAATAACAACTTCATTGTTACTTTCAGCTTTAATATATATATATATATACACACACACACTAAATACAAAATATTTGGTTATAATTAAAACATTTTTGATTATTTAGATCTAAAAACACCGTTGTTTTATTTCAAGGTGGCTGTCATCACAGTACACGTACATACTTAGTGGGATGGATATGCAAAGTTTGTGTCAGTGCATTAAGGTGGCACCTTCTTCTTTCAGATTTGGGTCGCATGTATAATCTTGTGTCTAGAATCCAGGATGGCCTAGGAGAATTGAAAAAACTTCTAGAGACACACATTCATAATCAGGGTCTTGCAGCAATTGAAAAGTGTGGAGAAGCTGCTTTAAATGTAAGTACTATTTAATTGGAAATCAGCCAGGCCTAACTGTTTCCACCAGGAACTGCAGGTGTCGTGTGCCTCCATTCACGAATCCAAGTGGTAAGATTTCACCAGAACTCTAGTGGGGAACCTTGTTTTGGCTTTTTAAAGTAGAAGGTTCAGAAACCTCTTTGTTTAGTAAATTCCTCCATAAACTTTCCTCTGGCACCTTTTCGGCATTAAGGATGTCCTCTCTTGATATTTTTTTCCTTCATTTCTTCTCACAATTACATTCCTTACACTAGAAGAGAGAAGATTCTTCCATAGAACAAACAGCCTAAAGCCTCCTAGACACTTGCCTCTGGTACCCGTGGGTCACAGGCTGCATCTCTTGGGGACTTTGATCTGAGGACTGCCCTTCCGTTGAAGGTCACAGAGCTATTTCCCCCTGATAGGCCCTGAAATGTGTAGTATTGCTCATGAACCCCACCACCCCAGGAGGCGCAGGGAGTGTTCCTGCTAGTGTAGCAGTAATTCAGGTGATAATTTTATGTAGGGAGTACCACGTGTTCCTAAAAGACGGGTTAATTGTCTTCAGTTTTGTCCCTGTTGTGCACTTTAAATTTGATAGTGGTTGGGGGGAACTGATAAAGAAAAGCTTCTAGAACACAGTTGGCTCTTACATCTGATTCAGAAAACGTTTTAATCTCTGATTTTTATTGTGTTTAATGTTAATTATTTTTGACGATACTGTATTTTTTTTTACAATACCGTCTTTTTTTTTTTTGGACAACACTGTCTTTAATACATCTTTTAAAATCTTCATTTCTCTGTTAACTTTGGAAGATTTCTTTTTATGGCTTGCTGCTTCCCTTTTGACACATTTATGAATTACTAATGGAGTGAATGTAAACCCATTCCTTCCCGGGTTGATAAAATAATTAATTTTGCACTTCCCAGATGGAAGGGACCTGGCTTAGTGGGCGTTGAGAAAGAGATGTCCAGGTTTCAGTGTAAGCTGGCATGTGAGATCCCGGCACTGGGACACGCGGGGTTGGGATCGTGGGGCTGTTGTTACCCTGGCCCGGTTGAGTGTGGCCCCCGACAGTCTGTCTGGGTTCAGATCCCTGCTCCAGCTGTGTGACCTTGCTGCTAACTTGCTTTTCCTCGCTCTGTCAGTTGGGAGGGTTTTTTAATAGAAAAATGACGGTGGGGACACCTGGGTAGCTCAGTCGGTTAAGCGTCTGCCTTCGGCTCAGGTCATGATCCCAGGGTGCTGGGATCGAGCCCCGCATTGGACTCCCTGCTCAGCAGGGAGTCTGCTTCTCTCTCTCTCCCACTCCCCCGCTGTGTTTTCTCTCTCGCTGTGTCTCTTTCTGTCAAATAAATAAATAAAATCTTTAAAAAAAAGAAAAAAGAAAAATGATGGTGACCACCTCATAGGGTTTTTGTAAACAGTACGTGTAAAGTGCTTATTAAATCTGGTGCGTAAGTGCTAAGTGCTCAGCAGTGATGACAGTTTTCCTTTTAAAAACTCATTTAAAAATCATCCTTATATTTTGATGGCTTTTCTTACTTCTACACTGAACGTTCCTTTTTAAAGGGCCTGACGTGCGCGCGCATGTGTACTTCAGGAAGGACCAACTTTTCAGTAATGTGTTTTCACAGTAGTTAATTCAAAACTCCGTTTAGCCACATGAGCAACAGAGCCAAGTAAATGACTTATTTTCCTTGAAATGAGTTAAGTGGTGAGTCTGTTATTTCATCAGACATGGGTTGGAGAAGTAACTACATGAAGCAGAGTTTGCTTTTTTATGTGACCTGTTGTGTATGATATCTGCTGGGAGGTGGCCTCAGGGGGTCCATGGTCTAGATGAACGCAGTTAGATTATTTTCATGGGAATGATGGGGTGTTACTTCTAATGCCCATCTTTTCCAAACCAAAGTAAGGTCCTAGATGGAGAAATAAATCACGCTGTAATTCTCAAGTACTATTGTTTTCTCTTTCTTTTTGATACGATCACCTGACTTGGTGAATCTTAAATCTGACATTTACTTTTTCATGACCAGTTAAAGCAGAAGTTTAGTTTCTAAGTAAAATTGTTTCTTTATATGTGGAACCTTCATCTGTCAGCAATAAGCACATTATTGATCATAAAATAATACATTATTAATTATAATTATTTCCATAAAAACCATTTTTATATTGAATTCGTGAAACTGATTTTCTAAGTTGTTGTGAAGAAAAATGTTTTTTGGGAAAAGCAAATACTTTTTCTCTTTTCTGCAAGAGTTTTTCCTGAATTTCCATCTTAAAGTTTCAGTTGACTCGTAGTTTGCAGTGTGCTGTCTAAATGATTCGTGAGTTTCTTACACCACCGTCCGGGCCTGGGTTATACCTGCCTCCTTTACTCACCTGTGATGGGAAAGCCCATGAAACTTGAAGAAGCTCAAGAAAGAGCATGTGTACCCAGTGCTTATTAGCCTGGCACACAGTAGGTGTTTAAATACTTAACTTTAAGAAAGAATAATTACAGCTCTTAAATAATTTTAAGTAGGTATTTTTATCACAAATGTGGCAAATGTAAAAGATACATTGTAACCCAAACCATGATGGTTTTCCAAAGCCCACTCATGCTGGAGGAAAAGCAGCAGAGGAAAGAAACGGTTTGCCTTAATAAAAAAAATTATTATACATAATTCTAAGTGGGATTTAATTACTTTGAGAACACAATTTTTTTAAAGTTTGAAAATTTTTGCCCAATTGAGTTGGATCATAGTATATGAAAATCATTTACAGTGAGCATATTTAATGTGATAGAAAGCACTATTTAAATGATTCTTTAAGGACTAAAAAGTTTTCTTATGTAGTCCTATGATTCTGTTCATACCAAACAAAACAGGTTAAGTTTCCAAAAGTAGAGAAATGATTTTACTTAGAAGCTGGACTTCTGCTTTAACTGGCCACGAAAAGGTATTGATTAGAAAACTAGATTTGCTACCGATTAGTTTGGCCTAGACTGAAATCATTACAGATTTCAAACTTGTAATGGGATTCAAAATAATATTTTATGTATTGGTACCTTCAAGACCTACCTGAGCGTTTTCCTAAGGCGTTTTTTTTTTCATAGTTAAAAACAAATTTTTAAAATTAAAGGCTCTTCCTGAAGAACTGGCCCAAGGTGGATCTCCCTCATGCTCTCTCCCTCTCTTTACCTAAGCAAGAACTGGCCGTCCTTGTGAAGTGTCCCTGAAAGAGCGCCCTTAACACACGGCTTACGTGTAGGCGCGCCGCTGCTTGGACCTGCGCGGGCCGGCAGTTGGGCTCGGGACTCCTCAGAGTATGGAGAGCGTCAGACTGCACGGGCCGGAGCAGACCAGTGTGGGTCCATCTTACCCCCCACCGGGCAGGATTTCAGTGCGCCTGGAAGAGTTCCCGCCAGCCTTTCTAGGGCCTCACGACTGGGGACTTGGATGCTCTGCTGATGTGCTGAGTCCTGCATAACGGACGCAGGAGTAGCTAACATTGCATTGGGTACCAGTAGGACTTTGGGAACCTTGTACACAAAAAATATTCAAGGATGGGATTTATAACTGGTTTAGAGCCGAACAAAGAACCAGACAAATCATTTTAAATAGGTGAGTTTGTTGTATAGGCAAGTTTCCCCAGCCGTGGCTTCTGGACTGGAAAGAGTGGGACAGCATGGTAAATTAGCACACTGACATAGTATTGAAACTGTTTGAAGTCAAAATTTGAAAGACCCTATGTGCTTACCTAGATGGGCCAAAGAAATGTGTTCAGGGTTTGGCAATACAGTAACTATAAAAAGAATCTGTATTAAAATATAGGAGGAGGACAGGCCCTGTACACTTCGGTCGTGAGCAGAGCATCTTGAAAGTAGAGCCCACACCTTCAAGTGTTCTCTGTACAAGGCTGAAGCCCACAGTGGCCCTGTGCTGGGTTCTCGGGTTATTGATCTGCCAGAGCAGCTTAGCTGCATGATGCTGGCTGGTATTGTCACTCAAAGGGCGAAGAAACATTGCAGATAAAATTGAAATCCTTGTTTTCATTCATTCAACAAGCATTTATGACCCTCCTGTGATGGGATTGATGGCAGGAATCCCAAATTGAAATGCCTCACCTTTGTCTTCTCATCCAGCCTCCGTGACCTCATCTGCCCAGTTGCTATATTACAGGTTCATTTTGAATGCACGTTCTCCTTCCTCCGTCCCTTAGCACGGGGCTAGGGGTAGGGTAGCAGCTGTGTAGGACATGCCACTTTGCCCTCATCCTTTGCCCATGACAACATTCGTAAGCTAAAACGGTGGGTTTCCCAGTGAGCCTGGGTATGGCCTCAGCGTCCTCTAGAACCAGTAAGGGCGCCTGCCTACCAGCCCTGGCCCCGCTCTGTCCTCTCTGATGAGTGAGTTGGGTGAGGACGAGCCCCCTTCCCTGCCCCTCCAAGTGTTTTCTCTCTGGTCCCTGCCCCCGCTCTCACCCCCACACCCTGTTGTTCATCTGGGCCCTGTGACTTCGTTCTCCAGATGTTCTTCCCGCTCTCCTTTCCTGTTCATCCCCCATGGGGCCCGGCACTTCCATCTTTCAGAAATACCTCTGAATGCTGTGACAGTTTTACTCCACATTCTTCATCCTTTTTTTAATAAGCAAAGCGAAATGAAACCTCTTCTCTATAGTAGTATATTAAATCTACAATATTATGTTGAACCAGAATCCTCTTCTGATTTACCCCTGCTCTCATGAACTTTGTCTTCCCTGCCAGATCACTTCCCTGCTTGCACTCAGGCTCTTCTCTCCACCCGTAACATGGGCCTCCCTGCTTTCTGCTCGCTTTGTCCTTCTTTGAAGGCTAGCTCGGATCCTCCTTTCTAAAAAGAACTCTCCACTCTCTCTTCGAGCTCTGAGTGACTGTCTCCCCATCCTGTACCCCTGTGGCATTTATTTAAAAAGTCTCTCCTGTCCCCCTCTCTATTTGTGGGTCACCTCTGTGTTTCCTGTCACACTGCCGTCG